TTTAATTCTATTTGATTCTACTTTTTTCCACATTGATAGCAAATTTTTTAAAATAATAAAACATTCCAGCTACAATTAAAATTTAGTAAGAAAGAGATACAATAATAGTTGCATGCTTCTCTCTGTTCAGGAATAGCTATACCATCAGGACAATGGATTATTTGTGTATCACAGTAATCCAGAATAGCTCAAAACACAGTGCAGCCAATTCCCTCTACCACCACAAACTCTCTTTTCTCACTGAGAAGTATACAGTTTATGTTCTCAGATGGACCCAAACATCCAACCCAACATTTGGCTGTGCAATAAAAATGGACGGGTCTACAACAAATCTAATATTGTCCACTATTAGTGTCATTCCTTCTGATGTTTTTACATTCCGAGCTCCTTTTTTGAATTTTCATCTACAAATATAATTTCCTCAGATGTCTTACAGTTACTATCCGAACCTGACTGACTACTATTTCTGCTGTTGTTTCAGCATTACTACTGGAACCATTTGGGGATACTTTTTGAAGTCGAGGATGGCTTGGACCCAAGGCACTCTGGTCTTTTTCTCTTTCAACATGACACTGTTTGCGTTGTAGAAGCAACATTTCTCACACCAGAGTGAGCTGGGACTGTTCTTTCATGAGATGAATCTCATGATATGTGACTTGACTTTGTCTATCTCTTGATCTCTCACGTCCCCCACTAGCACCATGTGGACTGATTTTGGTATGATACACTCCTCCTTTAGCAAAATGTGAGGGGAGTACTTGCATGTTTATAACACTTATAAGGTCTTCTATGCAATTTCTGATCCCAATTCTCTGGATCACTGGAGTTACTTACTGTCATAAGAATGAGGTCATTCTGCCATCCCACTTCAACCTTCCTCACACTCCTGCTCTGAAATTACAGATGTAGCACCCACAATCTGTGGTCCTTCTTGAGAGTCCACTGAGGATCAAGGCAAAGACTGTAGTCAAAAGACACCTCCGTTTCCTCTTCAACTGGATCCCTCTGGTGGTCACTCAGGCAACATGGCCATGAGGGCAGATTTAGGCCGGTTCCTTAGCCTTTTCTCACAAGAGCTCCATTTCTCTTGTATACATAGAATGTTCACCAAGGCAAAGCAATACCTTTCCTGTGTTTTTATATATGTTATTGTTGTTGTTGTTGATTGCTGTCGAGTTGAGCACAACTCATAGCAACCCTATGAACAAAACAAAGTTGATCAAGTTTCCAGAGGCATGTTGTTTAGGTAGTGGATGCCAGACCTGCTTCCAAAGTTTTTATATACATAGTACTTCAATAATAGAAATACCACAAGTAGATGACTTTAACAAACAAACCTTTATTATATCACAGTTTAAGAGACTTTAAGTCTAGATTCAGAGATCTGTTTCTCTTTCTCTCTCTGCTGACTCTGACTCTCTTCAAGGTCTGTGGGCTTTATCAGGGCCACACTGATAAATAAAAGTTATTATTGACTCTAAACTTTCTACAATCATGGAATGAGCATCTGAATCTATTGTTCTGATATAATCTTTAAACTTTAAGTCACTGAAACTCTTTGAGGTCTTCTCAAAATCAAACAATTAGGGGTTTTTTCATTAAACATTCTCATTTAATAAAATGAAAGAGTACCAACAGGTCTTGAAATTAAAGGACAGCTGATCTGGGGGGAACTGAGACCAATGAGTCTTTAAACCCTACTTGACAGGTGTCAAATATTTCAACTGCTGACCTGCTGTTGAGGTTAATTTCCAGAAATTACTTCACTTCAAAACAGACACAAGTCCTACTTACAGAAGTTAGACTCTCATACCCCAAGTATTGATAGGTTAGCCCTAGAAGGGTAGTATTTAAAAATAATAAAATTTCTTTAAAAGCAAACATGCCTCTCAATAAAGTAGAAGTATAGCAAATCGATTTTCCACTATGTTCAAAGTACCATACTGAACTAACAGACTTTTATTTTCAAAAGAAAAAAAAATTACAGAAGAGTAAAACATAAAGGATAATCTTGTTACAACCAGTTTATATACAAAGACATTTACAAGTCTGTCATTTTGAGGCTTTTGCCACAGCAACTGCACATTTGTCCCTACAAAGCACGACATGCTTGAACCAAAGGTAGCTACAGGAGATAATTTGTCACGTCTTTACAAAAAGTAGAGCAGTGTGAGGAACTGGAGGCATGGAAAGCCACATAGAAATGGGCCACCATGGCCCTCTACAGCCCACAGTTTATCTATAACCAAACAATGTTGGTTTTCAATATAGATTGAGGCTCAACATCAAGAGGACAAAAATCCTCGAAAAAGAATGGGTGAGTCCCGCTGCTTCCAGCTCCACACTGCTGCAGCCCTGTGGGGCCAATGCAGCCAGAGCCCAGGGATCCCCTTGCCTGGGACGGGCGGCAAGTGCCAGGCCCCGCGGCTGGTACACGTAGCCCCCACATGGCCACAGAATAAACCTATTCTAAAATAAATACTCGGAACCAAGATGGCAGTGGCAGGAGAAGCAGTGTGAGGAGCTGGAGGCATGGCAAGCTGCATTGAAATAAGCCACCATGGCCCTCCACAGCCCACATTTTATATATACCTAAACAGCCAAACAGTTGACTACTGGTCTTCAATATGGATTGAAGTTCACCATCAAGAGGACAAAGATTCTCAAAACCCATGGGTAAGTTCCACTTCCGCCGCCACTCACTGTGGAGCCCGTGCCACCACAACCCTGAGGGGGGCCACCATAGCTGGAGCCCACGAGTTCCCTAGCCTGGACCAGGCTGTGGGCACTGGGCCCTGCAGCCAGTGAGACTGGGCCCTGCAACCAGTGAGACAGAGCCCCTGAATGGCCGGTTGCAGCAGATGCCAGTGGCTGTGGGTCCCCAGCATGGAAGGGGATAGCAGAGGAGGGGGCATAGGTGGCAAGGAGCCCAGAGGTGAAGGACTAGATACGGGGGAGCATTTCACTGTCAGTGAAGATTTCCTTGGATAGATCAGAGAAGAAAAGAAGATCCTCAACATGATGGATTGATATGGTGACTGTAGCAATGAACTTGAGCATGCCTTGGATTGTGGGGATGATGTAGGAAAAGGGCAAGGATTAGACTTGTTGTTCATAGGGTTGGTGTGAGCCATAGAGCTCTGTGAGCCTAATGGATAGAAACTTATGATACCAAACCAAACACGGGCAATTTTAATATGTGGCCCTCAAGGCCTGGTTTTAATTGTTTTCTGCCAAACACTCTTCTAAGTGGTGTATCAGTGGGCTGCCAATTGGTTATACAGAGGTAACTCGTGGTTACTGTGATGCTGAACACTGTGATGCTGATGTGACAAATGTGATAATGGTTAGCCATGGTGGACAGTGTTTGGTGCAGCTCCCCTATTATGACAACCAGACATTGGGAGGGAGGGCTTTGGTGGGGATTTGTGCCGCCTGGACCCCAGGGTGTACCACACAGCCCCTGAGGACAGCCGTCCTGCCCCTGGGGTGTGCCACCTGGCCCCCAGGGAGAGTCATCAGGTAGCTGTGGAGAACCACCTAGTGTATACGAGGAATTTTATCTAGGCCACTTTCCACCACCTTCATCCCCAGGACATCTGTAAGTAACACCTCTAAAGCCCTTATCCTTGTAACTCACAAGTCTGTTCTCTCTAGGTTTACTCCCTTTCCTGTAGGTATCCTTAACAAACACTGAGTCTTGCTCCAGACCTGAACTCTGAGCCCAGTTCCAGAGACAAAGAGAAATATAACTGCTAGCTAAGGAAGCAAAGGAGTATAGAACCTCAGGATTCAGCCAGCCACCCCCACTGTACTTACCTTGGCAAATACTTTGAAGTCCAGAGGATAGAAAATGTCAGAAAAATATCTTCTAACTGAACAAGAAGACATGCAGCTTCAACCCAGAACCACCAGTAAGGTATTAAAGTGGGCTCCCTTCCTCCTTCACCTCAATGCCCCTGTTCAGCATGAAGAAGCCAGAAAGTCTGTGCCCCATTCTCAAATGAGAAACCCACAAGTGAATAAGATAATTTGTTTGTTTAAAAAAATATTAATCACCATTGGACTACGCTCACCATTACTCTGTCTTTTCTGGTCCCCACTGGATCTTTCTCATTTCCTTCACCTATTCCCTCCACCCACCAAATTGTGCACCCCGGTGATTTCATTCATTCATTTAATTCCTTACTCTTCTGCTCCCAATCCTTACCCCCTTGGGTCCCCATACATGTTTCTTAAAATTAAAAAAAAAAAGATGTGTGTGGGGGGGAAAGAATTATTATATAATTTCAAATTGATAGCAGCTACTTGAAAGATTGGGAATCTGGTGGATTCAAACTGTCTGCTTTTTGGGTGGCAGTACAACTCCTTGCCCACCTTACCCATTGGACTACCAGAGTGCCCTACTTTAAATATTGATGACTTCTGATATGACAAAAACTTTAACTGGTTGGAATCCTCTAGGAAATACAGCTAAAGAAGATTAACAACAAATATTCTACAAAGAGGTCATACTAGTGGTAGAATTTCTCTCATGTTCATTGTCCATCAGGAATTTCTGGCAAATAATAGAATAATTTTGACTGAAGTGGTAGATAAATGCAATAAGAGTGTGAGGTCTCCAAAATACAAGAATAACAATAATTAAAATTCTTATCTATAGAATTGTCAGGAAGTAAACCAGATAATGCATATAAAATGCTTAAAGTGTACAGTAAGCCATTAAGATATGTTAACTAGGCGAACAAATAAAAATATGATAAAAGAGAGACACCAAGCAAAATCACCAGTACCTGAACCACAGAGCAAATAGCTTGTCACTCACATTGTGAAGGGGGAAAGCCCCCATGAAATGAAAGAGACAAGTCACCCACGTTAAATGGAGACCCAGAGGGTATCTCCCAAATCACACAGCGTCTATTGCACCAAGAACTCTGTCTGTTGACACCCTATCCAGGGCAGTTTGCATGCAGCCCTTCAGTCCTCTGGTTTCCACTTACATCTGCAGGAGCATAAGTGCCAAATCCAAGGACTGGCATGTAATGTCCATCATTCAGTTTCACAGAATGTTTATGTTTGCGATCCATCACTGCTCTGGTCCTTGCGAAACTGACTCTCTCGTTCCCTCGTCTTGCTAATTGACAGCCAGCATCGGTGGAAGAACAGCCCAGCTTTACTTTATTTATACCAACCACAAGGTAGGCGGGGCTGATTACAGTTTCTAATGAAATCAGCATCAATCTTTTGAATTATTTTTTTCCAAATTACTACAGCGTGCTGTGCAGGTCTGGTATATAGAAAAGTTATCCATGCTAGAAGAGTTTGCATTTTATTTTCAGATTAGCTCACTTTTGATTACATTAACAAAAACAACAAAAATATGTCCATTTGCCCTTGATCCTTATAAATCAGTTTCATTTAATAAGATTCAAATTAATCATTAGGATGGTCAAGTTCTTACTCACAAGCCAAACACAAAAAACTTTCTTGAACACAGCTTGAAGCCTTATCCAGGGACATATGGCTCAAAAACATTGCTGTCAATGCTGAAATGACCCGTAGCTGAACTTCCAGAAAGTTTTCAGAGGCTGGAAATCATGTAGGGGGGATATTGCCCATAAAATTCCTTGGAAACCTCTCACTTTTGACTTTCTGAGTTTTTTACCTATTCTACCTGATGATTACCTGGGTCTTTTTCTCTTGAGATGGCTTGGAATGTTCTTGAAATTATCTAAAACCAAGGATAAATGTCTGTATTCTTAACTTTATTCTAGTTACTGCTTCATTCTAAAACAGTCTGCTCTGACAGTGCTTCCTTCCTTCAGCCATCTGAAGTCTCACTCTTCAAAGCATGTGTACTTTTTAATGTTATTCTTTTTCATTGTTGCACATTTTCTTTCTCCCCTCTTTAGCCCACCCTGAAATGCACCCCTTGTTGTCCTACCTATAATGCCTAATCATGTATTCCTTTTGGACAGCTCTTCCCCTCATCTGTTCTAACGCAGTGTTCATCATATATCTACTCTTTTTCCATTCTCTCCCCAACTACAACTCCCCATGTCTGTCC